TAACTTAAGAAAAGTAAAGTTAAATAATTTCTTAAATAACTAACTGACTAACATTTATAATATCACAATAACTTAAGAAAAGTAACTGTTGCAATGCAAGCCTGAAACTTTACTCGTTTTCATTCCAGGGATGTTGAACTTGAAGACAAACCACAATTTAATAGATGCAAACAATTATAGATGAGGAGCTGTTGATGACTTTATAAACTTCAAGAAATAATCCTTTGCAACGCGGTGTCATATCATCTTCGTTCATTTCTTTGAGTAATAATAGCGGCACAACATTATCGGATGGCAATAACTGGATAATAGCTTTACAAGCGCAAAAGGGTTAAAGTTCTTGGTGTGCCAAAGTGCTGCTCAAGAGGTCATTTTAGCGTAGAGACTGGAATCCGAGAAGCGACCTTGCGAGACATTGAATCGGTACATAATTGAATTGTTCCACTTGACCACATGCTTGGATCTTCCTTTGAATTGAGGCAACGATTAATGCAATTAACCTATATTACACGGCGTACCACCACGCGTCGATTAATTCCATTACATCTATCAGACGTCAGAATACCATAAAAATTATTGCCATTAACTCTTTGACATTTTTCTGCTCATGTAGATTTCCCAGACACGTCTGATAGATCAGAATTACGTGAGTACACGCAGTATCAAAAAATGTGTATACATATATATATATTCCTAAATTTTAATTTACAAATTCCGTTAACTATTTTTACGAAATATCTATCGATTTAAAATTTTTTTATATAAAAAAAAAATTCATTAAAAACGATATTAGCTCTCGTGAAGAATATAGGACTTGGCCATGTAGATTTTGAAGGCAAAGGCAATAAATTTAGAGCTTTTATTTCAGGAAGCCAACGGCCGAAACTGTCGAAATGTAGAGGAGAGCTGTGTTCCTCCCGGCGAATTTCGACATTTAATTTCGAAGAATTTTTTGGGGAGATCGATGCTGTACGAAAGCTCATGGTACGGTCGCGTGGGTGTACCCTTCGGAATGGCCCTAAGTTACATAATGCCGTAATGCCTCCATTTAACGCCAATTGACCTCGTTGTACGCGTTTGCGCTAAAGGAAGTTTAACAATTGCCATTCAGCCGAGCAAACCGTTGTGTGTGCACCGCGAATTAGCCGTGCTTCGCGCTTCCGTCTTTTTCTCTCCCTTCCTCTGTTGTTTTCCCCCTTTTTTTCTCTCCCCGTTGCCTTTTCGTCACCTTCATTTCGGCCAAACCAATCAACGATACACGTGTGTATCCCTCCTCCTCCCCCCCCCCCACCCCAATCGATAAACCTAAACGACACGCCAAGCGGCGTCAAGCGCTGTGTTTCCTGTACTCCTTGAAATATGTCGACGTTTCCTCGTTTTGTACTCTACAATCCCACAAGTTTCGCTTGACACTTGAGTTCGCTTTGATTTTAGATATCAATACCTAATAATACCTTTTTAATACTCACTGAAGCGTGAAACGTTAAAGTGGGGAAGGAAAATCAAGGACATTGATATTATAATTTTGTTTAATATCAACCAAGTTGGAATGGTTGATATTCGCAAAGATAAATGAGGATAATATGCAAGATCTCGCTAATAACATTGGCGTTGAAGTATGGAAGAGAGCCGATGCGTAGATACGCAACGCAGCAGGAATTCTAAGCGGTTGAAGAGAACCGGGGAAACAATACAAGGGTGAAGCTAGTTTCAAGGCTAGGATAAATCACGGGACATATATATATAT